AGGTGCCAGCATTTCTAACGTGTGCCCGAGGAGCTTCTGATGAGAGACCGATGAGGACCCGCTGTGACAGGGCGAACAGCTGAGTTGCGCAGAGAGAAGGGACGTGTATCTGAGCTGAGGGTGCTCCCCATCCACTCCCCACCTGTCCCAGCCTTTTGCTGGGACAGACCACTTGACTAAGTCTAGCCAAAGGGCTGGGGGCAGAAGGGACATACATCCCTTCTTGGCTGACGTGTCAAGAGCCAGCGAGTGACTCTCCAGATGTATCTTCCCTGCTGTGGCATCTGGTGACATTCCGGATGGTGACTGGGTCCCTGAGCAGGAGCATATTCCCTGACCAACCTGCACACGTGGCGTGAGCAAGAAGTGGACCTTGGTTGTGTCGAGGCACTGAGCTGCCAGGGTTTGTCACAGCAGCAGAGCTGAGCCCACCTGTCGGTACCACGTTGTGATACTGGAAAGCTGGGACAACAGAGTGAACTCTTCTAGATCCAGGCGTGTCCTTGACCACTAAGAGTTTCTGCTCCTGGATGGTGATGACATTCTACCTCTCTTATCAAGCTGCCTGTCTTTACAGCAAGCCCCGCTTGAGCTAGTGCCATTCCCTGCAGCCCGTGTGCCCCACCAGGAAGATCTCTGGCCCTTCTGGTGTGCTGGCCTTATAACATGCCTGCTAACTCTTTACACCCTCCCTCAAGAGGTGGAGTCTAATGCTCTTCCTCTTGAATATGAGCTATCTTGTTGCCTGACTTCTACTGCAGGGAATGCAATGTAGTGAAACCATGTGACTTCCAAAGCTATGTTCTTGGCACCAGCCACCACTCTATGAGGCCACACGGAGGGGGCATCTGTAGGCATTGCAGCTGACAGCCTCAGCTGAGGTCCCCAGCAACAGCCAGCATCCGCTGCCAGACACGAAGAAGCCACACACACAGCCACCACGTGACTGCAGCCACCCGAGGGACCCGCAGCAAGACCCGCCAGCTGAGCCCTGCCAATCCCCAGAAATGTGGGAAATATGATCTACTACAATAATGACAGGTTGTTGCAATAGTAAAATGATTGTCGTTTTAAGTTTGGGGACAGTCTGTGACATACTAGACAGCCAGAAAGGGGGCTCTGCAAGGTGTCCCGCCTGGCCCAGGACTGGAAGCTGGCACCTTGCAAAAGTGAGCCTCTGATCATTTCTCATTAGTCACAGTGTAAGTCCTGAGCTGCCTGCCCTAACCCGCTCTGGCTATTCACATCTTGAATGGCTCTTCTTCCTGCTCCTCATTTTTTAGCTTCTAACCTCATCTTTCTTTTTCACATCTCTGTCCCATCCTCTCCTCACCCTTGGATGCAAGGCTTGGGTGTATAGTCTTGTTTTGCTGCTTTAGCAGAGGAAACATAGGATTTTCCTTTCTGAGACCACGACGTCATGCTCCCTCTGGTGCGTACCGTCTGTTCCGGACATACGTGATTTCCAGCCCAGCCCTCTAGGAGTCCATGCTGAAGATGCCACTTATACTCCAAGTCCCCGTGCCCCAGCCTCTAGGGCTGGGCTGAGTTTGCTCTGACCGGGCATCAGGAACTGAACCTTGGCTCCAGATGTGGGGTCTTGGAGAACAACAAATACCCCAGCAGAGAAGACAGGCCAGGGGTCTATCTTCCTAGATTGGTAGAGGGACACTTGGCACGGGTTTTTGGTCTTGGGGCCCAGCTGTGAGAAGCTGGGAGGGGCAGTGGGTGCTGGTGGTTGACATTGGGCATGGCAGACCAGTGTCCTTCTGCTTTGCACGGCCAGGCAGGTATCTCGCTCCATGATGCTTGCCAACAAGCTTGTCTAAATGTAATAGTCACAGTTTCATGAATTAGCACATAATCACAAGAAGTAACGACAAAGTTGCCATTTATTAGCCTTTCCAATGCCAAGTGCTGGGTCAAGTGATTTCTATGCATTATCTCATTTAATCTGTACAATCATCCCAGGAGGTAGATATTATCCTTTTTTTTTTTTTTTTTTCAGATAAGATAACTGAGGCTCAGAGAGGTTGAGTAACTAATTGAAAAAAGTAAAAAGGGACTCCTGGGTGACTCAATTAAGCGTCTGCCTTCAGCTCAGGTCATGAACCTGGGGTTCTGGGATCAAGTCCTGCATGGGACTCCTTGCTCAGTGGGGAGCCTGCTTCTCCCTCTGCCTGCCACTCCCCCTGCTTGTGCACGCTCTTTCTCTCTCTCTCAAAAATAAATAAATAAAATCCTAAAAAAAAAAAAAAGTAAGTTAATGGTGGAGCTGGAATGAGAACTCAGATTAACAACCAGGTTTGTAATCAGGAGCATGCACGTTAAGATCATGATGTAATATCATTTTGCACCCATTCTCTTGGCAACAATGAAGACTGATAATACCAAGTGTTGGTGAGAATGTGGAGCAACAGGGACTCAGAGACACTGCTTTTGGGAGTGTAAGTGGCCCACCATGGAAAACGGGTTTCTTGTAAACTTGAGCATTCACCTACTTCCAATTCAACCCTCCATTACACGCCCTGGAGAAACTCTTGTTCTTGCGTACCCATGGACTTAGAGACCAGTGATTCCAGCAGCACTGGTAGGACTAGCCAGAACTGCGTCCGTCAGAGACAGGCAGGAGACAGAAGCCACCCCCATTATTTAAGGGAGAGAATTGCTGGGGCGCCTGGGTGGCTCAGTCGGTTAAGCATCCAACTCTTGGTTTTGGCTCAGGTCCTGATCTCAGAGTCATGAGATCGAGCCCTGTGTTGGGCTCCGTGCTCAGAGGGGAGTCTGCTTGAGATTCTCTGTGCATCAGCTCCCACTCATATGCACCCTCACTCTCTCTAAAAAAAAAAAAAGAATTGCTAACTAGGTATAAAGTTGTTAACTAGGTGACTGAAGGGTTGTAAAAAGAACTCTAAGATATAATGAAGGTAGTGCTTGCAGGAAGCATTTACCAACCCCAGCGCTGAGGGTAAAAATTATTAAAATTTAGAAACAGAGGAGGAGCCCTGGGGAGTAAACTTCAGAAATTTGAGAAGGGAGTTCTGCTCACCTGGGGCTCACGTCTCGCCCACTCAAGAAGGCCCAGATGGGGCAGCAACTGGGCTGTAGGGGAGGAGCCTCCGGCCATCCGGAGCTGGTGTCTCTGGCTTTGGGAGAAGGGCCCCTTGGGAAGAGAAATGCTCCTGTGAGAAGCAGCCCTGCTGGCTGGTGCTCCCAGGAACTGGGGCCCATGGGCAGCGGCAGAGAATGGAGATGAAGAAGCAAGCTCCTTCTCTCTGCTCTAGCCCTGCGGTGTCCCTCCAGGCTCACCCTGCTTGTTGGCAAAGCCTCTCAAAGTCGAACCTGGAGCAGCTGGTAACACAGAAATGTGGTTTTCGGCGTCCCAGCCCCAGCATCACAGTACAGGTATTTTTTTTAAGTATTTATTTTTAATTGTGGTAAAATACAACAACGTAAACGTTACCATTTTAACCATCCTTAAAAAGATTTTATTTATTCATTTGAGAGAGAGAGAGAGTGCACATGAGCAGGGGGAGGGGCAGAGGGAGAGGGAGAAGCAGACTTCCCACTGAGCAGGGCTCCATCCCAGGACCTGGAGATTATGACCTGAGCTGAAGGCAGGTGATTAACCGACTGAGCCACTCAGATGCCCCCATTTTAACCATTTTTAAGCATGCAGTTCAGGGGCATCAAGTATATTCACACTGTTATACCACCACCACCAGCATTTATCCATAGAACTTTTTTCATCTTGCAAAACTGAAACTCTGTACCCTTTAGATACTAATGCCCCATTGCCCCCTCACTAAGCTCCTGGCAGCCACCCTTCTACTCTCTGTCTCTACGGATTTGACTACTCCAGGTGCCTCATGTAAATGGAATCATACAGTGTCCTTCTGTAACTGGCTCATGTCACTTAGCCTCATGTCTTCAAAAGTCACCCATTTGTAGCACATGCCAGAATTTCCTTCCTTTTTAAGGCTGACTGGTATTCTATTTTATGTATGTACCACATTTTGTTTACGCATTCAGCTGTTGCTAGACAAGTATTTTTTATACTATCAAATATTGTATTAAGATCCCAGGTTAGTCTGACTATAAACATTGTACATATAACACACCTTCCCCCCTTTGCCTCTGTATACAATGGGTTTACTTTTTCAAAGCCATAAAAATGATATTCCAACAACATGCAAGTGGATTTTCAAAAATAAAAAGTCCTACCAAGAACTGGGCCATCTTTTTTTTTTATTATTATTACTTGACAGAGAGAGACACAGCGAGAGAGGGAACACAAGCAGGGGGAGAGGGAGAGGGAGAAGCAGGCTTCCCGCGGAGCAGGGAGCCCGACGCGGGGCTCGATCCCAGAGTCCTGGCATCATGACCTGAGCTGAAGGCAGACACCCAACGACTGAGCCACCCAGGCGCCCCAAGAATTGGGCCATCTTAACATGAGACCTTTTAAATTTTCTGCTGTCTTATTTAAAGTCTTTCTTATAGGCAGATATAATCTGTCAAAGTGATGAGGCCAGCACCCCATACAACTGAGCGTTCTGCCACATCATAGACCTTGGTCTGCGGCCGCGGGGCTGTTGCCAACCCTGAGTGAGCGAAGTGCCTTTTTTTTTCAGCATTTCTCTTTGCTTCTTGGAATATCTGGATTGTGTTCCTCAGGATCGTGTCGGTTGACCTGGAGGGAAACCCTCCTCAAGTCAGCTTAGGCAAAACCAAATTGGTGTGTGTGGTGGAGGATGGTGGTGGTGGGATTTACTGGTTTCTGTCATGGAAAGAATGCAGGAGTAACTCACAAAACTAGGGCCTGAAACCAGGGACTAAAAGGAGCTGGCACCTTCCTCTCTGCCCAGCTCTGTGGCCCTCCCTCTACCTCTCTTTCTTTCCTACTGCGCTCAGGTGTCCTTCACCTGGCACGGCACGTGGCCCTTGGCCGTCCCCCGCTTTGCAACTCCAGCCGCAAGACCATCCAGAGAGGGATCCCAGAGAAGGGCTGTGATTGGCTGCTCTGTTGAGTCCCGTGGTCCCCGGTTGGGCCAGTCCTGTTGTTAGGGTGATCGTGAGTTATTATTGGCCAGGCCTGGTCACATGGCCATCCCTCGGGCCAGAGTGGTGCCCTATGGCTTTCAGACAGAGGAAAGGGCAGGTGTGCCGGGAAGCCAGGAAACAATGGCTGAGTCACTATGAGGGGGGCGGGGGCTCTGTTTTTCACCATAGCAACGCGAGACATCCTGGGCGCACACTGAGTTCTTTGTTCTGATGATCCCCTTGGGGGGAAATGCCGGAGGGCAGGATTGCCGTCATGACACTGGCCAGAGGCGTGTTTAAGAAGTATGTCCGCATCTGATATCTTATTTGTGCCTCACCAAAAACCCTGAGGAACAGCAGAAAAAGAGTCGAGTGACGGGGTTAGGGACACGCCGAGGATGAGGGCAGAGAAGAACCCAGAGCCCTGGCTCCCTGACTCCCATTGTAGTGCTCTCCCCCAGCAACATCACAGTCAAAGTTTGGACAGGTGGTGGGAGGGTTCAAGCACCAGGGTCAGGCCTGACCAGTTAAGGGAGGGAGCTTCGTCTGCTGTCTGTCCCTTGGAGGAGCTGGGCGAGCCCCTGGGAGGAGATGGGGGGGCGGCCCCCGCTTTCCGAGCCTGCTCGAGCTCTGCGGGGGGACGTCCCTCCGCTGGACCTGGCGTCCTCCCAGGGGGCACTCTCAGTGCGCAGCTCCTGCAGGACACTGTGAAGATGCCTCAGTGTGAGCAGGAGTCTCTGGTCTTGAACTTGCATCTCAGCCTGGGAGAGAGAATCAGTGTGAGGGGGCTGGGCGTTCCCCAGAAAGCTTATTCCCACATCACTGTCTCATTGGAGACAAACCCACAGCCTCGCAGAAGCCGTGTCCACCCAAGCCTCAGTTTCTTCATCTGCAAAGTGGAAAGCAAATTACTTACCTTTCAAGGCCCTTAGGAGGACTGAATGAGTTAGCCCGTGCTCTAAAATACGAGATGCTTGGGGCGCCTGGGTGGCTCAGTAAGTTGGGCCTCGGACTCTTAATTTGGGCTCAGGTCATGATCTCAGGGTCATGGGATTGAGCCCTGCATCCTGCTCTGCGCTCAGCAGGGAGTCTGCTTGAGACTCTCTCTCTCCCTCTCCCTCTGCCCCCATACTCATGCTCTCTCTCTCAAATAAATAAATAAATCTTTAAAATACGAGATGCTCAACTACCAAGCTCTGTGATCATCTTCATCATCATCATCATTATCAAATGTTATTCTTATTTACACCCCCACTGTATGCTTTAATCCTCACTGCAACAAACAAATCACTTTATAGGTATTAAGGTGAAAGTGACTTCATATTAAAACAAAGTGGCGTGCACCCTATAGGCAGGCAGGAGCCCTTTGGAACAGTGATCCTCAACGTAAGGTCCAGGGAACCCTTGGATCCCAGAAACGCTTTCAGGGGTTCAGAAGGTCAAAACGACTTTCATTACAATACTAAGATATTGTCTGCCCTTTCATCCTCTTATGAGCCTACAGTGGAGTTTTCCAGAAGCTACGTGATGCATGATATGGTATCTGATTGCATGCAGAAGCAGATAGGAGAACCCAGCAGTTTTCTACCGTTAAGGAGTTTACTATTGTTCTTCTTTTTTTTTTTTTTAGATTTTTTTTTATTTATTGAGAGAGAGAGAATGATAGAGAGCATGAGAGGGAGGGGGGTCAGAGGGAGAAGCAGACTCCCTGCCGAGCAGGGAGCCCGATGCGGGACTCGATCCTAGGACTCCAGGATCACTAAGCAGTCGCTTAACCAACTGAGCCACCCAGGCGCATCTCATCCCACCCCTGCCCGCAGCTCAGTCTGCTCCCCCAGAGGCGTCACTGGGAACAGTATCCCTCCCATCTGTCTGTCTCTCCAAGAGATAATTATTAACATTATTTCTCCACTGGAATAGCCTTTTATTTCATGACAAACTAATTCTTTCACAGTGTGAAGATTAAGCCCATCTCCTGCACTCCAGCAGTAGCTTCCTTCCAAGAGAGTAGATGGAAGGAGGGAGAACCACCTCCTGAGAACACTGGGGCTCCCCAGGCTGCAGTGGAGTGGTAGCAGGGATCATACAGTGTGACAATTTGTTTCCCAAATTCTTGGGAAAACATTAAGTCTGTGTTTTCTCAATTTTAGGGTTGTCCTCCCCCACGTTTTTATCATTCAACCTTTAGCGCTGCTCTGGGCCCATGCTCTCGAGAATGCAGTGAGGCACCCAGCGGGCAAGCGGTGGTAAGGGAGGTGGGAAACTCCATGCCCTTGGAGTCGAGGGCCAGGAATCCTGAGCAAACTGGCTTCCACAGGAGGGAGGTGTCCCATCTCACGGGGCAAGAGGTCCTGCGGTGATAAGGCGTGCTCTGGGCTCAGTTTGCTCAAGTTCCGCACCGAAAGCTCTTTCCTGCCCCTGAGTGAGTGCCCCTTAGTCATCAGGCTGGTTTGCCTTGTCACAAGATGGCAGCAGTTCTCTCCCCTCTTTTAGATCCCACCAGATCTTTGGGGCTTCCATGATCCTCATCACATAAGGGCCATAAAGGGAGGGGACAGCACCGGACTATTGTCCATAGTAGTCATGTTACCGATTTGTTCCTTCTGCTGCGTGAAGTCACTGTCCAGGACTGATCCTTCCCTGACCGTCAAATGGAGCCTCTTGGCTGAGCTTAGGTGTCCTTTTGGAGTCATGTAAATTCCATGTGATCGAGGATAAAACAGCCTCGCCTGGGAAAGTTACAAGTCTGGCATCCGTAAGTGGAGACTCATGGCTCCCGTCTCTCGGCATCATGTGGCAGGAGGTGCTTGGGCCTGGGAGGCTGTGCCCCAGGTGGGCTTCCCCCAGCCCTGCCTTGTTTTCCTTCTTTATGTGGTGAGAGAGAGTTACCTTATCAGGTGGATATTGGCCTTTTGGGTTTAGGCACCAAGCAGACTCAGTGTGGGATCCCAGTGTTTAGGGGAGCATAGGGAAGGCCCCTGCCCAGCCTCTGGATCCCTGTGGACTATGAGAAGCTGCCCCTCCTGCTGCTGGAGTCCCCTGGTCCCATGAGAGGCCCTACTGGGTCAGCCCTACCCACTAGGGTGAGGACAGGATTGGGTCCCAGCTGGTCTGTTACCTGGCAACCCAGAAAGGTCATTTTTGGATAATCCCATGTGTCTCTCCCCTGACTGAGAAGCTGGCCTATTGGGATCCAAACCTTGGGTGCTTTTTGAGGTTCCCTGAACCACTTCTTTCTCTCTCTTGCCTGGTGTCCCCATGCACTTTGGGGGCATTCCTCAATTTTTGGACTTGGAGAAAACAGCACAAAGAGGGGCATAAGGCCTGGCTTCTTGAGCAGCCCCCAAGGGACCAAGTAACATAATCCATAAATTCAGGAGAGTTAATGCCTCTGGGGTGGATCTTTACCACAGCAAACAGGAGACGGCAGTGAGCTGGGCAGGCCAAGTTCCTCTTCTTCTCTCCCCCCGGGGTGCAGCTCCCCTTGCCCTCCTGCAGAGAAACCTGCAGCCAGGAAAACCAGCTGCTGAGAGAGCGCTGGGCCTCTTGAGGCCCCTTGCAAAGGGGTGGCCTGCTTGGTGACAAGGGGCGTCGTCTCACATAGCATCGCCCTTTGCCGCCGCTCCCTGTTTCCTTCGCTCTCACCGCTCTGAGCTGCATCTCCAAATAAATCGTTAGGACCCCAATCCTTGTGTGGGCTTCTGCTTTCTAGAGGGTCTGGGCCAGGACAGTGGGTGTGCTGGGCAACGGTGGTGACAGCCAAGCAGACACGAAGTGGATTACACCTGTCTCCTTCGCAAACTAGTACAATAACCCCTGCACTGTCGGTATTATTATCATCCCCATTGTATGGTGAGGAAACTCTCCCTCCCTCCCTCCTTATTCTGTTCAGAGCACAGTACAGAGCTGGGCGCACTCCCAGGACTCGGTGTAATTCTAAGGCCAGTCTGGCCGGCACTGCACCCAGAGTCTCCTCCTATGTAGGCCACGACCTACTTATCCAGGCACCTGAGACAGCGCGTGTGTGCTTTATGGCTGGTATCGGGGGTGGGAGGGTGGCCCACAGGACCTACACCCTAGCTGCAGCCTCTGCCCCAGCCGGGGGGCTCCTGCGAGGGGGTCCCAGGGAACCTGAGAAGATATGGGGTGGAGTCATCCGGTGAAAAGAAATGCAAAGCCTTACCAGCTCCTTTCGCAGCCACTCCAGGGTCTGCCCAAGACTTGGGGTTGGCTCTTCTGTTTTCATCGCAGCGTCCTTGGAGGGAAAGTTGACGCTGACCTGTTGATGGGCCCAAGGGACCTTTGATTTGTACAGTCTTTCCTACCTGCTTCTGGCAGGGAGCAAGGTCTGGCTAAGTCACTGAGGATGGAGTTAATGAGAGCAGGACGTGGCTTACGTTGGACAAATGTAGTTGGTTGTTTTTTTTTTTTTTAAAGGGCTTCAGTGCTCTGAACAGAATAAGGAGGGAGGGAGGGAGACCACTGGGGTATGGGCACTTCAGTACCCAGTGGTTCCAGAGTCCAAAGTCTGATGCCAACAGGATCATAGTGACTGTAAAGCTTTCAATGATAATAATTATCCATATATTATGAATTATGAATTAATAATTATGAGAATAGGTGTCCCTTTCTGAAGGCTTAGTTTTCTCCAAGTGCTTTACATAGGTAGGACCCCATTTGGGGCAGATACTGCATCTGTGTCCCTAATCCCCTCCCTCCTTCCTCACCTCTCCAAAGAGTCACTTTCCAGGTCCCCTAGCTTCTGGGGTGTCCTTGTGACCCATTTCTAGAAAAGGAGATCAAAGCAGAAATTTGCTGTTAGATTTCTAGGGAAACTTACCTTCCTGATAAAAGGAAAAATGTCAATGAAGCTCCCCCTAAACTCCAACTTTCTTCTCCTTCCTTTGGCCTGGAATGTGGACGTGATGCCTGGAGCTACAGTAATCATCTTGCTACCCTAAGACAAAGGCCAAAAAAATTGCAGAGACATTAGAAACCGTTGAGTCACAGCATCACCAACAGATCGGCCTGTTATGTGAGACAATAAAACCTCATTTTTAATTGGGCAAACACAGGCTTACGGACACACCATTTATTCTTCACAACACACTATCAAGTGGGTATTTTTTAGTTGTTTCTTTAGGTTAACACTTATTGAGTGTCTACCATGTACCAAGTTCTACTCTAGGCACTGGGGATACGACCCCAAATCAGAGAGACATAGGTCCCACTTTTCTGGAGGACATTGGAGTGGTTGGAAACAAACAATAATCAAATTAATATTATGATGGAAATAAATAAGGTATATTCTCACATGGGGTTTAAAATAATTTATTCTAGCCACATGAACTAGGAACCCCAAACTAAGAATTAATACGGTGATCCCAGACAAAGAGCTGAGGGGACCAGTAAAACCAACTCAACCCATTTTGGAGGGACTTGCTCTCAACCCAGGCTGCCCAAGCTGCCCAGAGACAAAGCTCCCCTACAGAGGAATTCAGAATTCAGAATTACAAGGGAACCAGCCACCATAAGTGAGAGTCAGCAAACACCGTCAACAGCAGGGTTAGGCCCCTCTTCTCCCAACAACTTCAGATGAAGATAACAACAAAGTATTTTGGAAAGAATTAAATTCATTACAAAAAGGAATAAAAAACAGAAAAGATTACTAAAAAAGGCAGATTCAAAAAAGAACTAAATCAAATTCATAGAAGTAAAAATGAAAGCAAATGTTTATAAATTAAAGAAAAAAAGAGTGTACCTTTAGAGTAGTCCTGGATTCAGAGCTAGGGCGGTGGGTACAGGACCTAGGGAGGCAGACTGGGACTCAGTGGGAGGAAAGTGCCGTGCAGAATTCTCCCCAGCAGGCACTCAGTGGAGTGAGGAGGCACAGCCTGAATGATGTGGGGGGGCCTCCACTGTCTTGGAGGAGGGACCTGGGGCTCCTGGCAAGCCTGTGATCCACCAGGCAAGAAAAGGGGTCCCTACAGGAAGCCAGGACACCTGCGATCTAACCCCCAGCTCTACCAAACTTTCTATGTGAACTTGGGCCTCATCTTTTCCATCTTAGGTAGAATGAGACTCAAAATAGTTACCAAACTGAGTTGTAAGAAATGTTACCTTTCGGGGCACCTGGGTGGCTCAGTCGTTCAGCGTCTGCCTTTGGCTCAGGTCATGATCCCAGGGTCTTGGGATCGAGTCCCACATCGGGCTCCCCGCTCCGCGGGAAGCCTGCTTCTCCCTCTCCCACTCCCCCTGCTTGTGTTCCCTCTCTCGCGGTGTCTCTCTCTGTCAAATAAATAAATAAAATCTTAAAAAAAAAAAAATGTTACCTTTCTTGTGCCCTGGGGTTTACAGCCTGAGATGCATTCTGCCACACGCAGAGAAAATTGTAGGTGCAATTTCTCCTAGTTCCGTGGTCATTCTTTAGAACCAGAGAGGGTCTGAGAAACTCTTGTCTGCCACATTCACATTACCTCCTAACCACAGGGGCCAGAAATGATTTCTTCCAGGCAAGTCGCCAGGCTGTGTGTCCCATGACCCTGTAATTAGAGGGCAATTGTCTGGGTCAGAGGTGGGTGCCCCAGCCCGAGGCAGCTGTCTGCAGATAGGACAGGACAGGACAGTTTGTGGGTATGAAACGGTGTGAGAGAAGCTGGGTCCTGCGTGGTGACCAAATGACTCAATCAGGTCTTCTCTCAGAGAAGGGGAATTTGCCACTGATGGAGAGGTCAGATTGTCACGGAACGCTGTGTGACACAGCTCTCCAAAACGCCATACCTTCCAACAACAATCACTTCTTTTTGCTCTTGACTGGGATGGTCTGCAGGGGTGCAGCTCTGAGCCTGCTCCGTGGGCCACTGGAATCACTAAGCGGGTTTTTCTCTTGCCAATGGCAAAGGATGGGAGAGCAAGTGGAACCCTGCAATGTCTCTTACGGCTGAAACTCAAGACTACCGCGCTACCACTTTGCCGGGTACCACTGGACGGAGAGAATCACGTGGCCCGGCCCAAAGTGATGAGGCAGGGACACCCACTCTGCCCATAAAGAGATCCTGCCAAGCGTGTGGAGTCAGGGAGGAGTGGAGAAGTGGGAGCCCCAATTCTAGACCAGGAAGGAAGTTCGGTGAGGAGGGGCCCTGGGTGCAGAGGGGCCCAGGGGGAAGGTGGCAAGCAGAAACCAGGAGGTGGCAGGAGCCCGAGGCAGAAGGAATTGCCGTGGCATTGGCGGGAGACGCAGAAAAACGAGAAAGATGCTGATTTCTGAATGACAGTTGAAGGATAATTTAGGACCACCAACATTTATTGATCTACTCTAGACCAGGCATCATGCTAAGCCCCCGACACACATAACCCCATTTCAGCCTCAAAACCTTAGGGCTGCAGTTCCCAAACCATGTGCCCCGGCACCCCCGAGGCCCTGCAGAAAACTCACAGAGACACTGCAAAATATTTTACAATTTTGAGGGAGGTACAATGATATCTGCTGGGTACTGGGCAAACTACTATTAAGTTGTTTGAACCTAACTGCTTAATGAACAACCCTCTGGTATTTCTTTTTTTTTTTTAAAGATTTTATTCATTTATTTGACAGAGAGAGAGAGAAAGGGAGAGAACAAGCAGAAAGGAGGGGCAGAGGGAAAGGGAGAAGCAGGCTCCCTGCTGAGCCAGGAGCCTGACACGGGGCTCCATCCCAGGACCCCGGATCATGACCTGAATTGAAGGCAGACGCTTAACTGACTGTGCCACCCAGGCGCCCCAACCCTCTGGTATTTCTTTGAGCCTGGCACACTGTGAAAAAATGGCAGAGATGCTAAGGGTGCTGTGAACTTCTGCCCATGAGGTGGGTACCCTTGTTTTCCGTGCTTGATAGTTGATAATAGATAGATCCTATTATTAACCTCTTTCATGGATGAGGAGACTGAGGCTCAAAGGGGCATGGATCTTCCTAGGATCCATCCAGCAGGTGAGCCTCAGGGCTAGAACTAGAACCTGTCCTCCCTGACCTGTTCCTGACCGGAACGGTCTTGCTTGATGTCTCCCAGGAGTGGAGGGTCATGGAAGGGCTCAAGCCAGGCCCAGTGCATTCTCTGCCTGACACAGTAATGGTGTTGATAGGAACGCTTGGCAGTTCGAGTCTGCGCTCTGTCCTTGCATCTACCACTGATGCCTAATTACCCTGGAATTACCCTGGAAAGCCATTGCTTGTGGTTGACTTGTTTTGATGCCCTTTCATTTATTTTTAATCCCACTCTCAAGATTCTGGCTCACAGCACATTTTATACTTCACAGGCTCCGCAAGGCTTGGCACACAGGGATAAGGGGTGGTGGAGCCAGGAGTCCTGAAAAGGGAAACACTTAAACCCTTGAGTGAGGAAAGATGTCCTCACCAAATACAAAAGCCAGAAGGGCCATCCATTCATCATCCATGGGCAGCTAATAACATGGCTTCTGCGTGTCGGTCCCTGCACTGGAAGCTGCGGGTATAGAGCGGTGAGCAAGACAGACCTCACACCAGACCTCGGGGGCCTATGGTCCAGCTAGTGAGAGGATCCATTAGCAATCAAGTGGTTCTTTATACTACAAGCATGGCTTATATATATAATATATGTTATATTATATAATATATATGCCAAAACATATGATATCTATGTGTCATATTATATAATATATATGCCAAAA